ATGGGACTTATCAACTGGATGTACCTGCATTCCAGAGTTGATGTTCACTCCAGGAATTGAACCAAGTAATATTCACTTCAAACGTTATCGCGTTATCCACTTGCTTATTCTTGCTTAAAAACCTTATGACTTAAGGCTATATCCAGGTTATCCTCATAGGATGCACATATGTCAACAAGAGACTGAATAATTGCAGTCCTAAATAAAAATGGAAAGATACAAGTAAAACAACACCAAGTAAATTTAAAATCATATGGTTTCTAATTAATTCAGCCGGTACATTCTCCTATTTCATATCATTTCAATTGTGATTTAGGATGACAATTATTCATTAGTTTATTTATCTACAATGTATCTCTTCAGTGCTCTTTAAATTTCAGTACATTTGCAATAAAAACTTTCTTGAATGAAGTGATTCACTTCCAATCAATGAATTTAAGGTACTCTTCTCTTTAACAAATTTATTTCTAATAATAAATAGAGCATATTACCCATAGATCTTGATATAGGGAGATGGATTATGAACACAGTTATCTAGATTGCTGTTAGAGGTGTGAGGGCGGTTTTCACTTCCCAATTGCCAACACCGTGGAAGGGTTGTTCTAGAGGTACCCGAAAAGATTGGATTGAGGTGGTCCTAATGACCTGAGAGCGTGACCGCAGTGCCCGAGAGACAACTACTTAAGGTCGTTCACATACGACCTTCTTGTGAGCAATTTTCGTACGAGCTCCGTACTTGTTGAAACCTTACCATCGGAGACGGGAATCCGTGGGATAAGGTGAGGTCTACATTTTTAGGGTTGACCTTTTCTAATCCCCATTTTTGTGGGAAGGCAGCATTGCTGTTATGCTGGTTGTTTGAAAGAAACACCTTACTGCCGCCACACCTCTGTACATTCAGTAGTGCGACTTCTCTCTAGGATATTGGGTTTACTGCTTTTAATCTTACCTCTCTTCAACCGACCTACCTGGAATGGTAGGACCTTGAGGAACAGTCGTTCCAGCCAATATAGTTCGATTGGTCTATTACGATTGGCAAGCCCGATCACAAGGTCAAGGTAGCAGCAACTGTCAGGCGTGATATAGAGGGACTGACATCAATACTATCGGTGATATCTGCCTTCTAACATAGCTAAACTCTCTTAATCATAGATTCTTATTTGAAAGTTCAGTATACTATTGAAAATTAATCACTTGTCAACAGATAATTATCAATCAGAATAGAAAAAATTTCAAAATACAATTGAATTCTTTTTTAATTAGTCATATTGCTTATAGATACCATGTGTATTCTTTAGTTCCTTACTCTATCCATTTCTACTTTGGTCATCAAATTTATGCTGTTCTAAAAAGAAAAATAACACTAATATTTACAATTGATAAGAATTTGTTAAGTAAGCTTACACTCTTCATTTAAAAGACGATAAAACTCATAGGTGAACTTTGACTTAACTGAATACGTTCAATTATTCAAACTAAATAGCCTTGATTCTTTTTACTTTAATTTCCGCTTGAAATGTGTCACAATTTGTCTACTGTTTTTTTTCTTGCAATATTATCTGATAAACATTGTATTTTTGATAGACAACAACATTTCCTCATACACATAAATATCTATCACCACCACGGATACAAAACTTTAGTGATATATGCGGTGGTGAAGAATATTTGTAGCTCGAAATGAGAATTTCGAGGGAGTTTTATTCTCTAGGCTGGATGATTTATTCGTAAAGCTTTCATTGTCTTCCTTAACAACATCATCAGCACACAATTCAATAACAAGTGAATCAATAAAAATTCTCTACAGGTGATTGGATGCTTGTTTTGTTGACCTAGAATTTAGATAGTTATTGTTCATAGGTGTATGAGCGTTGTTTACATATTTGTTTTGATTGTTTTCATTCCTAACCTTGGAGCTGTGTATCCTTCCCCCTTCCAGTTAATAGATCTAGTCAAGAGACAATGAAATTTAACGATTTTGAGACGGAGGAGAAGCTTTGTAGCTCAGGAAGATAATTTAGGTGGAGTTTCGTTCTCTGAGCTGAATGGTTCAGTCATGGAGTTTTCATCGTTCGTCTCAACGACACCATCAGCATGAACTCCAGGTAGAAGTGAAGTGTCCGAATTTTCTCACCTATGACTCACAGCTTGTCTTGCAGACCTCAATCGTGATTGACTACTGTTGACCTTACCCTGTCATTGTTTACTTCTTTATTTTATCTCCCACTATTGACTTGATTCTTGGTCCTATATTTGTCTATAATCTTTCTGATTGGTTGATAAATTGGATCAATTTCAATATGTGTGTTAGTTACTGATTGACCTGAGTGCCAAGCCTCAAAAAATTCTCTAGTGTTTGTAGAATTTCCTCCATCTAAGATTTCAAAATTCTCCAAGTTGAACGTTTGCTCACAGTTGTCCACATGCGCTGGTATAAGCGAGAATATATTATGGCGTTTCACCACTAATTGATTTTCGTGCAAGCAAAGATGAAGAGGGCGTCCAATTTGTCCGATGTAGAGTTTTTCGTAGTTGGGACAATTTATTTTGTAGATAGTGTTCGGTTTTTCTTTTATCATTTCGTCCTTCGGTTTGCATATAATTGATTGAAGTGATTTTTTTGGTTTGTATGCTACACCTATTCCAAAATGCTTCAACAATCTCGCTGTAATTTGTGATATGCCCTTTACATATGCTAAGAAAATCCGTTCGTTGATTTCTGAACCTAATTTTGTTTCTGCCGATGCATCTGGTTGGTATTTTTGATTAGGCTGATTGGGTAGTCGTTCTTTTAAAAGATAGTGTTTAAATATTTTTCTTCATTTTACCGCACTGTGTTTCTGTGTGTCCGCACCCTCTTCAACAGAGTTTTTACGCAATTGATTTTGTGAGCTCTTGGGTTATCGCTACTGTAATTGAGAATTTGATCTGTGTAGATCGGCTTCCGATATACTTGAATCTCCAGTTTTCCTAGGTCGGTTCTGGTGATTCATACATTTAAGAATGGTAGTTTGTTGTTTGGCTTCTGTTCCATTGCGAACCTGATGTTGTCAAAGACGTTGTTGATCAGATTGTAGTTATTTTCCAGCTCGTCGTTTTTGATGATGACAAATGTGTCGTCTACATAATGAATCCAAGTTTTTGGTTTGATCACTACTAAAATCTAGGCTTCCAGTCTCTGGATCACTGCTTTTACAATAAGTCCTGATATTGATGACCCCATCGGTTTTCCTTTCGTTTGTTCGTAGATTTTGTTGTTGAATTGGGAATATGTTGTTAAGCATAAATCGATGAGTTCTAGTAAACTTTGACTTTAAAGTTTCGTGTACTTTGAGAGATTTATTTGGTTGACGAGAAGCAGGGATAGAGTTTCCTTTGATAAACTTGATTCGATTGAGGTGAATAAGACTGTTACATCAAAGGATATTATCAGTCCGTCGTCATTGATTTAAATGCTCCTAATTTTATACAGGAATTGGATAGAAGATTTGATAGAGTGATTAGTTGGATCCACTAATTGTTTAAATATTCGTGAAATTTCTCTTGACAAATTCTACGTTAGCGTTCCGGGGAGTGCTACAATTGGACGTAGCGGGATGTTTGGTTTGTGTATTTTCATGAAACAATGTAATACGTTCTAAGGTAAACAATTCTTTCTACTTATGTTAATTATACCAAATCGATTTCGGAAAAGTCCCTCTGAAATGTAAGAGCTTTATAGACATTCTTTTGTTTTTTTCTCTATTACGTACGCCAATCAGCATTCTCCAACTCACTCTGTCCTCGGCTTTCCTTTCGATTTCTATCGAATTTTTGTTCATTCTTCTCATATCTGCCTCCATTTCTCGACGTAATGTGTTCTTTCGTCATCCTCTCCTCCTCCTTCGGCTTTGAGGATTCCATGTGAGGGCTCGCCTTGTGACGTAGTTCGGTGCTTTTCTCAATGTGTGTCCTATCCACTTCCAGCGTTTCTTCCTGATTTCGTCCTCCACTGGAATCTGGTTTGTTCTATCCCACAGTAGGTTGTCAGTGTCTAATAGTGTCTGGCCAACGGATCCAAAGTATTTTGCGTAGACAACTGTTAATAAACAGTTGTATCTGCTGGATGATGGCTTTCGTAGTTCTCCAAGTTTCCGTCACATACAGTAGAACTGTGTTGACATTTGTTTTGAAAATTCTGACTTTGGTGTTAGTTGACAAACAGTTGTTTTGAGTTCCAGGTGTTCTTCACTTGTAGATATGCTGCTCTTGCTTGACCGATCCGCGTCTTCACATCTACATCATATCCATCGTGTTCATCAATCATGCTACCCAGATATGTAATGGTTTTTACATGCTCCAAATCTTCTCCATCAAATGTGTGATTCAACTGATGCCTGTTATGTTGTATCAGAGAATCTTGCTTTTCCTTTTGTTTATGTTAAGACTTACTGTTACTGAGCAACGCCATCCTGTAGAAAACTAACTCACGAGAAAAAAAATAATCAAAAAGAAATCTCCACAAAACCCATTCTGATAATAATAATCACCTGCTCACTAGTGATTGACTTCAGGAGACACTCCTGGAGTTCTAGTGAGAAGTCGTTACCAGTGGAGTTCAATCAGGTCTGTTGAGAGATAGGAACTCACTGAAGATAATGGTGTACGGTGGCGCAACCTCGTGGATTGGTTGAAGTTAGACATTAACACCGTTGGATGCCGGCTCAGTGGTCTAATGGTTAAGTGCTCGCGCGCGAAGCCAGTAGGTCCTGGGTTCGAATCCCGCGGGGGGCGGGTTCGTGGATGCGCGCTGCTGAGGAGTCCCATACCAGGACGAGACGGCCGTCCAGTGCTTCCAGGTTTTCAATGGTGGTCTAGCTTCAACTGACTCATGATTTCAATCTGTGAAAATTTCTAAAAATCTCCACAAAACCCATTCTGATGATTAATTAATAATAATTATTATTATTATTATTAATCTATATAATAATCCATATTATTTCATTTTTATTATATTATAGAATTGGACACATTGGACAATTACAATTTTGGATCAATTAAAGACTATAAATCATATGATAATCAAAATAAACGTTCAAAATTTCAAATCTTTTACGGTGATGAATATTTTGATACTGAATCACCGGGTAAAACTCAGAATACATATGAAAACAACAATAATAATAATCAATTAATGAAATTCAATACTACTGATATTGAATCGCATTATATATGGAGTTTAACCTTTTCTCAACCAGCTTCACGTTATTATGAATTTAGACAAAAACTTGAAAAATTTATGATTTCATTAGAAAGTATTAATATTATACAATCCAATACTACTACCACTACTACTACTACTACTACTACTACTACTAATAATAATAATAATAATAATAATAATAATAATAATAATAATAATAATAATAGTAAACCATTAACGTCTTATATTAGATTAAAGGGCACTATAAAAATAAAAAATATTTGTTATGATAAATTAGTTTATATACGTTTAACTAAAGATAATTGGAAAACCTTCATTGATTATCCAGCAATCTATAGTTCACAATTATCATCTAGTACATGGTCAAATACAAAACGTTATGATACATTTATATTTAATATTCTAATAGAATCAGATCAACAATCTTTTAATCCAAATGATAAAATTGAATTTGCTATTTGTTTTATTGCATTCAATAATAATCATAATAATGATAAAACAGAATATTGGGATAATAATAATAATGAAAATTATATTATAGAACAACGTAAACTTCATCCACATTTAATCAATATAATGAATATCAATAATTCACAATCATCTAATCAAGATGATACACAAACAAATCAATTATCGATAATCGATAAATCATTAAATAATAACAATAATAATAATACTAATTGTACTATAGAATATAATATACCATCTTATACATTAGATTGTCGACCTAATTTTGATGGATTTACATCATTTACAAATTATAGAGCATGGAATCATTTCTCTGGTGAAACAAGTTATTATTAATATTCTATGAATGAATAGTTATTGATTTATTCTTGGTATAATTATTATTATTATTATTATTATTATTATTATTACTTTATTTGTTTCGCCTTATTATTTTTTTCGCCTAATATTTCATTGTATAATTATAAATGACAATAATTTATTAATTCATGAGAATAGCAATGATGAAAAAAAATTTGTTTTTCATTATTTTTAATGAATAATTCCAATCGATTTCAAAGTTCTCCTTCTTTTTTTTCTTTTCTTTTCTTTTTTGTGAAATTCTTTTCTTTTTCTTTTTCCTTTTTTGTTTTACTGAAGGGAAAAAACAATAAACTGCTAATTTTTTTTATTCTTCGTCATGTAGATGCCCTAAAATTGTCTCCCCCCCTCTTCCGCTTCTTTTTTTTTGAAAGAATTTTCTTTGTTCTTTATTCATTTCTTTTTTTTTATGTTCTTTCTTATTTTGTATTTGAATGTGTGTTTTGTTTTTCTCTCCTTCATATTGTAGTTCAAATAGAAAATAATCGAGTTTTATTTTTAGTAGGGTTTTTTTTTGTTGTTGTTTATATTTAATCGTATAAGGTTCAATAATTGATAGAAACAAAACAAACAAACAAACAAAAAAAATACTGGTCAACATTCAACTGATCTCTTGTTGTTATGCTTAGGGGAAATATTTGAACTTGTCCAATTAGAGATTGATTAAAGATCAATCTAATCGATTGCTATATGATAAACTTCAATTAGAAATGTTTTATTCACATTAAATACACTAGTTTATCTATGCATATGATTATGCTATGAAATTTATAATAGGTCAATTTGTTTAGTGTATTTCAGGTGTGCATATAATGTTTACTGGTTAATAATAAAGAGCTGCAAGTTCATCATGCCATCTTAATAATACTAAATCTAATAAAACACTTATACTTATGCTCATGATAGAAGTGCGTGAATCCTGGACTTTTATATTTCTGGTGTATGTGTAACTCATATCATATCCCTTGGGGATTAATCACATAATGATCTCCACTCAAAACACGTATTACTCCAGGGTATGTGTGACGCTAAATTAAAAAATAGCAATATCAACAAGAGTTTACAAACCTTCATAGTAGAAACAGGGACTATGACGTTTGATTAGTGTTATATTTGAATTCATGTTACATTATATTTCTATATCCTTTTAATTTCTTAGACCATTGGTGAGCACTGGAGACAATCCGTGTACTAGGACAAAAAAGTGACTCCTAATTTTTGACCAATCCTCTGGTAACATTCATAGAGTCATTAAAATTCAAAGAGTTATTCTTGAGATGATGGAGACCTTTCATTCAGGTGGACGATTTTGGTGGAGTTTCGTTCTCTGAGCTGAATAGTTTGGTCGTATAGCTTTAATTGTTCCACCAAACGAAATCAACGGCGCAAACTGTAGGTAGAAGTGAAGTATCCGAATTTTTCCACATGTGATTAACTGCCTGTCTTATCAAATTCAATCTTGATTGGTTAATAATGACCTTTAACCTGTCATTGTCTAAAACGTTATTTTGATCTGATTGTTGATCCCACATTTGTTTACAATTTTTCCAATGGTGTTGTTTAGAAGAAAAATGAAAGCTCCAGGTTTAAAACATTCAGCTCAGAAGCGAAACCCCACCAGAGTTTTTATACACCAGTATTCTCCAACAGAACACATCCGTGAATTTACACTGGATCAAACATTGAAGATGAATTATTTTCAAACCTTATTAGAACACCATTTCACATCTTATTATGCGCCAAGTAGTTCAACTAGTTTTATGTGTTAAGATGGAAACAAGATCACAGGAAGAATTTTCTATATAACTCGTAACGATAAGTAACTTTGTTGCATCGAATGACTACTGATCGACTCTAGAACACCGTGAAAACTTCGGATTATTGGACTTGCGTTTCGTCCTATTATAGGACTTCTCAGAAACGCATGTTCACAACCCGATTGCTAGTAATAGAAATTAGTACCTCTGGCCTAGCATACTGACGCCTAACCTCCTTGCAAAACTGAATAACCATGCTCATGCATTATTATTAGTACAATGTTGTTAAATTTTTGCTTGCATTCAACCATATGAGTGACTTGTGATTTCTCTTACAATAGTAGTATAACCTTGATCATAATCAGCTTATAAAGTATTGTAGTGTTTTTGAATGAAACAAATCTAACTCAAAACTCACATATACAGTGCACTTTACCTCTGTAAATACACACTTTATGTGTGAATCAGTACCTTGTGATTAAGTGAACACCATTGAAGAAAACTGCATTGTTGACAAATCATTATCAATTTTTAAGCTAATATTTTGTTAATGTTAATTTCATCTTTTATAACCAGGCCTATCTTAACACATGATTGTGTTCCACTAATTATTTTGTAAGATTCATTAATAAAACAATGTTTTTCAGACCATATTTAATCACCTTAAACAAGTTGATTATACAATAAGTCTGATACTGTGTTCCTTCTTAATGAAGAAATGTAAATACTACTTCGCCCCCAAATGCCCTGGTACGACCGAGAGTGGGGAGAGTCCGTTCGCTCTCCCTCTCTCGAAACACTAACATAGCCATCCATATACAGCCACCGTAAGCATAGTTCTGCTCACTGCCTTCTCCCTACGGGGGTGCTGTTTACCGAATTAAGAGGACGAAAAGCGGGTGTACGGCGCTTAAACCGGGTTGGTGGATATGAGGGATTCACCTAAGGAAGTTGAAAAACCCTGATTCCAAACTAATGGTGTACATGGGCTCCAGGATCCTGAGGGAACAAAAGGTGTATGAATCTATTGTTAGTCACTGACTACCGTGGGACTGAATCTCCTGACGTCGCTCCACTGCCTTCTGGATTAAACCTGTAGGTTAAAGGCTCGGGGTGTGTCTCCTTATGAAAACTACCTGTCTTGGTTTAGACACACGATCAATATTGCAGTCCTCACACAAATATGTATTTTGTGCCTCCTTGTACCAATGTTTATGGTTAAATAAATAAATAGAATATTACTGTTAGTTATGCCAAAATCGATCTCAAAAATCCGAATATGACAAATGACACGACGTGTTGTATAATGCATTATATATATTTGCATGACGTACAACTCTAGGATTACTTGTTTAACCGTCGATACAATGATTAGCGTTCGGAAGCAAAATACAGTACTCTTTTCGTATTGAGCAGAGAATTATTGGTTTAAAAATGAACTTAATTGAATTTATCAGTTAACAGACTACAGTAAACTCACTTATCGAACTATAAATACTAATCAGATTTGAGGTATTTAAGAAATACAATTGCAAAGAATCAGTAGGAGTGTGGTGCGTGCTACTTATATTCATATAAGTAGTACATGACGCGAGTCAGGAATGTAATGTCTGGCAGCAGAAGATTGGGAAAATAAAGAAAGAAAGAACGGGAATAGAAATCAATTAGTATAGAAATGCAAGAACAATGAAGTTTGAGACAATCATTGAACATTTTGCAAATTAAGTATTATATTATGGTTTTTCTATTTTAACAAGTAACTCTGTAATGATATACCAAGTGTAATTCGGTTGTCCTGTGTTACCAGTTTCAAGCATCTTCATTTATTTGTTGTGAAGTCTAACAAGGTTATTGGTACTTTTGAAATCTCATACTAAATTTCCTACTAATATGATAACTTCACATAAAGAGCATATAACCCAAATATTGCCAAGATCTTTTACCTAATCACAAACAAATATGTTCAAATTATACAGATTTTTGAGTCAATGAAGTTAGTTACAATTCAATTCTTAGTATATCTAACAATACAAACGTTGTCCTCCTAACTCTGAACATTTCTTACTCCTTTGTGAGTCTATTTAACCCCCAAATGCCCTGATATGGTCGAGAGTGCGGAGAGTCCACTCTCCCTCTCGAAATGCTCACACATGGCCACGCCTATATAGCCTCTGCCAGGGAAGTCCTATTCATTGCCTTCTCGTGGCGGGGGTGCCGTTTATAAAAATGAGAGAACAAAAAGCGAATGTCCAGCGCTTTAACCGGATTCTAAACCAATGATGCACATGAGGAAACAAATGGCGTATGAACCAATTGTTGGTCACCGACTACCATGGGACTGCATCTCCATACGATGCTCCACTGCTTTGTGGATCAGACCTTCAGGTCGGAGGCTCGGGGAGTGGCCTATTAAGAAAACCACCTGCTTCGGGTTTGGCACCCGGGCAGTATCCCAGCCCTCACACGTATCGAATGAGATTTGTGTGGTGCCTCCTTGTATCAATATCTATGTGTTAAAAGAAATAAATAATAAACAAATACAAGTGAAATATTTCACTTACTCGAAATATTGACAAACATAAACTTGAACTATGTAAAAACGTATCCTAATTGATTAAACTAGAAATTCTCCTAATCAATAATTACAAGTAACTTTCAAGCCATACATAACAATCTTTATGTATACAAATCACTTTTTTTAAGGTTAAAGAAAAGACAATTAAAGCATTGAAGTTATTGTCTTATTTTTCCCTTCAAAAGATACAATCTTTGTTAATGTGTCTTATTTGTAACTATGTTAATATCGGCTATTCACGAGGAGTAACAGGCGTAAGTAAGTAAGTAAATAAGTAATATCGGCTAAATACATTATGTAAGACAAAAACAAATACATTACTGTCAATATACAGTATAAATGTTAAATCAGACTCACCTATTTTATTTGTAACCAAATTCATCTATTAGACCTGATTGTATCTAGGTCAAAAATTATTGGAATATTTGTATAGATTTTTTTTGACATACCGTTTATTTCGGAAAAGAACATTTTGAATATTAAGCTAAAATTCGTTTGATTTATAGTTTGAATAACAGAATCAAACCATTATAGACAAATATAATCGAAACAAAACCTTAGTAACAAAATGTCGAATCATTATGTTCATAATATGGAAATACTTATTTTAAGACATTTGATTTAATGAATAATCAAATGTTGAAGTTAGATATTAACACCGTTGGATGTTGACCAGCTCACTAGTTTAGTGGTTAAGCGCTCACGAGCGAGACTGATACGTCCTGGGTTCGAATCTCGCGGGGGGAGGGATCGTGAATGTAGACTACTGAGGAGTCCTAAAATAGGACGAAACGGCCGTTCAGTGCTTGCATGTTTTCCATGGTGGTCTAGCTTAAAGTGACTCATGATATCAACCATTGAAATTACTTAAAACAATCGATTTAATGAATAATCAAATGTATTTGGACTAGCGAATTGCTTGGTTTGTTGAAAATAAAAAATTTCAAATATAATCAAGTTGTTTGTTGTATAAAAGATAACCACGATATGTAATGCTGATTAGTGTTGGAGATGGATGAAAGAAAGTGAGGGGAGGTCAAACTAAAACGTGGAATCAGTGCTTGAAGTCATTAACTTGTGATCTGAGACATATTGGTAGATGTAGACTACTTGGTTGGGACCTCTAAATGCAAGTTTTTGCTTCAGGACTGGGATGCATGAACACCTGAACTAAG